ACCTCAATTATAAATAACCGTTTTAATTTGCAACTTCTTTTCACATTCACATTCACATTCTCTCTCTCTCCTCTCTCTCTCTCTTCTCCCTTCTCTCTCTCTCTCTCTCTCTCTCTCTCTCTCTCTCTCTCTCTCTCTCTCTCTCTCTCTCTCATTATATAGAACTAGAATGGCTCCAGGGGAGAGCCAAGAAGGGTTTTTCTGGGATACTCATCCGTGGGTTATGTCTGCTGAAAGTGGTAGTGAAGAAAAATCTGCAGGTGTTAAGAATCAGTTGGTCGACTCAAGCATAGATAATAATAAAAGTCAGATGAAGCAGCGTGAGATGGGATCCACAGGTGGTTCAAATGGTGGTGCTCAAGAAACTATAGCAACAGTCATCGGTGATGGTGGCCTGAAAAATGGTGATGCTTTTAAGACTGAAGATGTGGATGACAAGAAGGTAAACAACCAAGGTAATAAGCGAAAAGGAGGTGTGGATCCAACTGAGCATGAGTTACATATATGGACTGAAAGAGAAAGGAGAAAGAAGATGAGGAACATGTTTCATCAACTTCATGCCTTGCTACCTCAGCTCTCTCCTAAGGTATTAAAATTAATTCATTGTTTCCTTGTCTAATGTTTTTACTATTTGTTTTCTAATGATCATCGCGGATTATAAATCTTGCAAGTACAAGTTAGATTTTTTTACGTTGTAGCATTTGAATAATTCATTACAATATGTAGATAAGATACTACGAAATTTTATGTTATGTCCGATTTATTTTTGCTGAATTTTTGTAGATCTGTTTAGCTTATAAATCTACTATCAATTTCTGAACTGATGTGCATATTTTTGCTAAATTATCTCTAAGATCGATTTGGTGTATATAAAATGGAGCAAAACTTCAAGTTTCCTGACTTCATTCGAAGTGATGTCTAAATTTTTTTATTAAATGTGCTCTTCATTAATTGCTTTTATTGATATCGTTCACATTTTTTTTTTCTTGTTTTTATTTTTAGTTTATACACTTTATGAGAATCTATGCTAAAAAAATTCGTGTTTTTTTTATCTATCTGATATTTGCTGATGCAGATCCTTAATTATCGACGATATATAATGGTGTTCCTCGTAATTATTTCACATTTTATAAATAGAATTTAATTTACTTCTTTATAACGATAGAAAATCACGAATTTGGTGCAATGCATTGTTAATTTATTCTAATCTTATTCTTATTCATTTATACTTCAACTAAATAATTGGATTTGTAATTTCGAAATAATTTAAGAAAACTTGTGTTGTTCAAAAATTAATTAAATGAACATTGTAACTGAATTTATGATAATCTGCGTAACTTTTTATAAATAAAACATCTTCAAAAACTTAAGTAATTCAAGAATTATATATTCTAAAATAACCTTTATAAAGTGACTTCTTGTGTGCACAAAAACTTAAATTTACTAATCTCACTCTTTTTCATTTAATTACGTATAATTCCAGGCAGACAAGTCTACAATCGTTGATGAGGCTGTAAACCACATAAAAACCCTCCAACAAACCCTCCAAAAGCTTCAAAGAAAGAAGAGAGAGAGGTTCCATGGTTTATCAACAAACACCACCATTAACGCTTCCATAATTCAACCACAAGGACTTATCCTCAACACAAGGGAATCCTTTTTAGCTGATCAAGTTTCCCCAAATAACCACTTTGGAATGGTGTCTCCAGCTCCAAGCTCCACCTCATTTTCTTTCCCAATTCGTTCACCAACAGTCTTCCAAACATGGACTTCTTCTAATGTCACTTTAAATGTGTGTGGTCTCGATGCACATTTTAGCATTTGCTCACCCCGAAAGCGTGGCTTAGTTACCACAATTTGCTTTGTACTAGAGAAGCATAAGCTGGACATAGTTTCTGCACATATTTCTTCGGATCAAAAGAAAATCTTTTTTATGATTCATGCCCATGTAAGTAATATTCCATTTTTAGCTTATTTTGTATTTTTGTTCAGCTATTTAATTAGTTGTTTCTTTTGTTTGTTTCCATTATCCTTTTTGAAGCAACCAAAATTCCCTTGTTTTTTACCCAATAAAAGTAACGGAAGGATTAATCTAATAGGGGCAAAGACATTCTTAAAAACGAGTGAAAGGAAATTGAGTTGGCTGATATTTGTAGAGTCACACATCTCAACTTTGACATCAAGACTTAGGTTTTGTGGTAGCTATGTTTTTGAAAAATATCGACTTTATTTATTAAGACCATATATAAACTGCTTTAACTAATAACTATATTTGTGTAATGTTTTTCCTGCAAGGCTTTAAATTAAGACTGGAAATATGTTTATATGTATTCCGATTTCCATATATAGATTAATAAATAATTACTATATTAATTTGTCTAACGGTTTTCCTGCAATGTTGATTAGGCAAACACTCACAATCAATTTGTGGAGTCATTTCCTTATGATGAGGTTTACAAGCAGGCTGCAGCAGAGATAATGCTTTGGGTTACCTCTAAATCGTCATAATTTTCTGAAAGCTTCTTCGGTGGTCTTTGGATGTTTGGAGAAACAAAGATATTGTCGTTCGCCAGTAATGTTTGTTGATGAGATGGACGTTTTCCTATTTAAAGTTCCTTAGCTACTATTACTATTATCTGTTTAAGTTTGAACCTATTATCGCTGCTTGGAATTAGAGTATGTTTTCTTTTGAAAATTTATGTTTATGTTATTTGGATTGATGTAGTTTCCTTTTTAATCATCCCGGATTTTTAGAAGTTTTTGTTTGCTTATTACCATCTCATATGAAGTGTGGATTTCGTTACAATGGCTATTACTTTCCAGATGAAATAGTCACAAAAACAGGATTCTTCATGTCAATCTAACGACATAAAAATAGAACTAGCTATAAAGCTACGCCGAATCCTCGGAGAACGACACAATTCACGTGTTGCACGGTTGTCAAATTTCAAATTTAACCAATTAACTATATATAACTAGTTTATAACTTGTAGGAACTAAGATCATATAATTAATTAAACTTTCATAGTAAAAATTCGAAATTATTAATTAAGTATTTTAAATAAATTATTGATTGAAAGATATTTGTTTAGTTATATATAAAATTATAATCGTTGATTCAAATAAAAAGATGAAATTAAACCACCTTATAATCTATGTAATTCTGTTTTATTTTTTATTTTAATTTTATTAATTTAATGTGATTAGAGTGAGAAATTTAAAATTAAAAATAAATTTGTTGACAAATGACTTGATATTAATTAAGAGGAGTAATAAGATGATATATATATATATATATATACAAAATAACTACTATTTTATTAGTATATAGACATAGATACCTTAAGACCCCTAATATATGATTGTTGGAAATTTATCTATATAAAAAAAACATTGCACTACCCAGACACTCTAGGCATAAATGTTTAAGACAAAAATGCTGCAGAAACGATAAATCTTATTATTTACTAAACTCGATCATTTTGGAGGAAATTCAGTTATTTACATCACCTTTTCATGAGTTTTTACCGACAACATGGTACTTAAAAAAAATATTCACCAAACTGTGCTAGTCTTAAACTTATTTACAAAATAGTAGTGAAAAGATCTTTGCATTGAATTTTTTTGTTATTTATTAAATAAAAGAAATTAGAGTAAATTGACCCCACCATACTGTAGGAAACAAACTTTGTGAATCCCCTATTATGAACAACCAGAAAACAGAAACCAAAGGAAAATCACAAAATAAGAAGAATATAGAAAACAGGAGAACAATACAAGAAGAAAAAACGGCTCTGTTATGATACTTCTAAACTCTCTTATTAAAAAACGCAAACAATGTTGGATTTTTAATCTTGATAGGTTGTTATTTTAGTAGTGTTTTGGTATTTAGTTTATCTAGTGAATTAAATAAATGTTAGTAAGTTGAAAGTGTCAATGAAGGACTGGGTATTAGCGAGTACTAGAAGCATGATTGTTGATGGAAACGTGGACACGTGAGTTTTACTATTTCCTGCTAGACTTTAACATGTATAGCTATAAATAGTCTCATATCTATTGAATAAAGTGTAGCAGCTTTGAGTCCAAAATACTTCCATCTCTCCATATTTGTTTTCTGTGTACATATATACATGTGAGTGTGTGTTATTTGAGAGACGACTTGAGTGCCTGTCATCCAACAAACAAAACATGTATTTATAGGGAAACAAAGAAAAAAGTCCTAAATTCTTACGTACTACTTGCTAAACAAGTAAATAGCAAAGCAACTGCCTAAACTAGTTCAAATGCTTAAAGATAGGGAAGTATTTCCCAAAATACCCTTGGGTATAATTTGTCCCAGATTTCTGGATTAACCCAACATTTTCCCCCTTAATCCAGAAATTACATCATATTCACTCCTAGCATCCTCTTTCTCTTGTCTTTAAACTTGTTCCTTGGTTCAAGAACAAAACCCAATCATCTTTCTTTTTCCTTTGCCTTTTCTTTCTAATCTTCACTGGACACTTTGTATAGATTTCACCTTGGTCATGCTCATCATCCGTTTTGGTTTCCACACTTGTGATCTTATTAGCATCATGCTCTTCGGTCATGTTAACAACATGTTCTTCCACCCATGTGTTCTTGCCAATATGACCATTCACATTCTAAACAATGCCATTAATCTTCATCAACACAAGAGGATCAATAGTGTATTCATTCTCGAGATTCACTTCATATTTATCAGCTTTAACATCAATATCCCTACTATTGCAAAAGCATTAACATTGCGCTTAGATTCTGACTCCAACATATCAACAGTTATTCCTCCGTTTTCTAAACTTACCTTGTCCTTTTAAGTTTCGTCAAGTTCATCAACCGAATCAGATTTAGGAGGGATAACATCTATACTAGTATCCTCCAAATTAGTTTCACTAACAACATTGTTAACCTCAAACTTACATACTCCATTATCTAACAATGAGTAGTACTTGTTTTTGTTTCCAGAAGGTATGCATAGTTCTCTTTGAGCTAACTTTCCTGTCAAGCATTCTTTATGCCGGCTTGTGGTTCTTTCAATATTCGGTTCTTCACACACTGATTTTTCTTTGGGTGTTAACTTGAGTTCAGGTTCTTCAGCTTCATTAAATACATACCGTGATCCGATTTCATTCAAACATATTTTATAGAGGTGATTTTCAAACTGCTTTACCTTCATGAGTAATCTACCATTTTCATCATGAATCCATAGAAACAAACCTTGCATTTTGATTTGATCACCCTTCTCTACTAGTTGGCCAAGACTTATAATGTTGTTGCACAATCTTGGGATGTAATATACTTCGGGGAGTACTCGTTGTTCACCATTCTAACACCAAAATATAATTGAACCTTTTCCCTCAACACGTACCTATGAGCCGTCTCCAAATTTTACGAACCCTTGAATCGCTCGATTAAGCTTACTAAATTTTTCTTCATCCCCGGTCATATCATTGCTTACTCCATTATCGAGGTACCAAACTTTGGAGTTGCTTTGCTCTTTTTCATCCGTTTTTAACTTTGGGTTCAAGTTTTCTTCATTCAAGAATACATCATCTTTGGGCTCACTCTTCTGGAGTGTTGCCATTAGTAAAGCCGGTTCGTCATCTACATGACCTTGTGCTAAGTTTGCTTCGTATTGTCTCTCTCGTCTTGGGTTCTTGCATTCCGCTACATAGTGCCCATATTCTTGGCAATGGTAACACTGAATGTGACTCTTGTCTCGATTATGATTTGTACCACGAGTTCCTTCATGGGACTGTTGGTTGTTGCTTCTTCCACGACCTTCACGATTTGCATAATTTCCACCGCGACTTCTTCCCCGACCACCTTGGTTTTGCGTGTTGTTGTGATTGTTTTCCTGTGAGCAACAAGCATTTTCTTCCTTTTGTTTCTCTTGCCTTTCAGTCCATTCTTGGTGAGTAAGCAACAACTTCTTTTCATCTTGTTCTTCCTGTTGAACATGCCCACAGATTCTCTCCTCATGAACTTTGAGTCTCCCGACAACCTCCTCGACACTCATCGTTTCAAGATCCACAAATTGCTCGATTGTTGAAGCAATTTGCACAAAATTACCAGGTACAACACGGAGCAACTTTTTCACAACATATGCTTCGTCCATGGTATCTCCCAAGGCTCGGATGTTGATCACGATGTTGCCGATTTTTCTGGAAAAATCACCAAGCAACTCGGATTCTTTCATGCTAAGAACCTCGAACTCTGCCTTTAGAGTTTGGACCTTCGCATGCCTAACCCTGTCTGCACCCATGTACATTACCTTCAATGTTTCCCATACTTCTTTTGTCGTTTGCTTCTCCTCTATCGACAACAAGACATCTTCAGGAATGGCATGATAGATGGCAGCCATTGCCGTCTTATCCTTCTTAACACCAACCGCGTTTTCGGGTTTCTTCGGTTCAATCGCATCCCAAACCTCCATTGCTTGCATGAAACCCTTCATCTTAATTGCCCATGCAGCATAGTTGGTTCTAGTCAAGATGGGATAATGCATCTTCATTAATTCCATGGTTTTTTGGCTGTGATAGATTTGAAATTCCTTAGCTCTGATACCAAATGTAGGAAACAAACTTTGTGAATCCTCTGTTACGAACAACCCAGAAAACAGAAACCAAAGGAAAATCACAGAATAAGAAGAATATAGAAAATAGGAGAACAATACAAGAAGAAAAAACGGCTCTGTTATGATACTTCTAAACTCTCTCTTATTAAAAAAACGTAAACAAAACATGTATTTATAGGGAAACAAAGAAAAAAGTCCTAAATTCTTAAGTACTACTTGCAAAACAAGTAAACAGCAAAGCAACTTCCTAAACTAGTTAAAATTCTTAAAGATAGGGAGGTATTTCCCAAAATACCCATGGGTATAATTTTTCCCAGATTTCTGGATTAACCCAACACACACTACCTCACGTTTTCTTCTATTCTCCATCATCATTTCTTACTCGCATGAAAAGTGCAAATGTAGAAACATGGATGCTTTGCTTGATTGCTTCACTGGATGCTTTTTACACTCATTTTTCCTCCTTGTTTAAGCTTATCTATTTTTCTGCGTTTCTGCAACACGTTGCCTTTCCAAAGGTTTCGTTTATAATCTTCTCCTTCACCAGTTTCCTCACACGTACTCATATGTCGCAGATTCTCCTCATATACATACGTTCTTTTGTGTTCCCCTTACCGATTGTTGTTTTCTGTCGTTTTCCGTCGGGTCTACCCTCTCCATTTACGCTTTCCATCGCCATAACTATTGTTTTTTGTAATTCGTATCAATGAGTTTTCTAGCAACTTTTGCATCCAGTGCCTAAAAAAACGGTGGCAAACAAGGTATCTTGTGTTTTTTTGTCGGGTTCTATTCTATATGTATATTGGTGATTTTAGTGTCATATTTTCTATAATTAGAACTTATATGTGAGCTAAGGGGCTTCATAATTTCACTACAAGAAATTAGAGTATTACCGGTAACAGGCGTCGCCGCT